GAATTTTAATTGACTTCGGTTGGGCGAAACAGTGATAATGAAAAAAAAAAAAAAAAAAAAAAAAAAAAGAAAATAGAAAGAAGAGAAAAAAGAAAAAGAACTTCTCACTGTACCTTTATCAAATTTTTTTCCATTAATTTCGACAATACAGATGGTAACTCTACTGACCCACTTTAGTTCCAAAGCGAGAGCATATCTACCGGGTGTCTACGAGTGCCTTTGACCTTTTCCGAACGATCGATCCCATGGAAAAAGACCTTTTACCTTTTCATTTTTCTTTCTCTTTTTTTTTTATTCCTCTTTTTTTATTTCCGTTCCCTTCCATCACAAAGGAATATTAAAAGAGATAGAGAGAAAGAGAGAGAGAGAGAGAGAGAGAGAGAAAGAGAGAGGGAGAGAGAGAAAAAAATACTTTTCTCACTCATCTCGATCGTCAAGAAATTTGCCGATTGACTGGACGAAATCGCTGGCCATTTAAAGGGCAGAAGGGAACATTTAAATTCTACGTTTGCGAGGAGGGGTCGTTTATGGCTCGTAAAACGGGAGAAACGAAATCGAGGAGAAAATGATTCTATCGCGTTACGTTTGAAAGATATGTATTCTTTAACGTTCACGTCGAACGAGGTCAACAACGTCGATAACGAGTTTCGTGCGAGTCTTGCAACATTGTGCCGTTTCAACGGGGTAAAACGACACAAAAACGCTCCCTCGTGTACTACGTCTGTCTAACGGTTTTCAAGCAAGTGTAATTATCACTAACGAACGGTTTGTTTCGGCTGATGAGATAATGAAAGATCCAACCAGTTTTACAATGTCGATAGAATTCTCACAGTTTTAGCGAAATTACATTTTTTTTTATAATTTAACATTCAAATTTGTATTCAAAATGATTATTATTTCAACTCTTTTGTAATTTTATACAGGATATAACTTTCACGTTATGATACACATATATCTTATTTCATCTTTTTTTTTTTTTGTTTTTTTTAATGAAAATTGAAATGAAATTAATTGTACTATCTAAATATCAATGTTTGTTAAATTTAAATTATTATAGTATTATAATTTACATTATAAGTTTCATATTATTCTTTTTTTTTTTTTTATCATGAAATATATTCTTAGATAATAAACAAAGATTAATGTTTGACGAAATTAAAATCATACTTATTGTTAGTATAGTATCTAGTCGTACTAGTTATAAATTTAATATTATACAATTTTCTTTTCCTTTTAAACATTAACAGAAATGGCATTATGGAAGTTAGATAGTGTGTGTAGTCATGCCAGTTAGAAATTCAATATTATATAATTTTTTTTTTTTTATAAACACGAACACAAATTGTATTATGAAAGTATAACGTAATCATGCTAGTTATAAATATAATATTACATAATTTCTTTCTTTTCTTTTTTTCTTTTTTTTTTTCCAAAGATGAATAAAAATTGGATTATGAAAATATTAGTGCTAGTCACGCTAATTACAAATTTAATATTATATAATTTTGTCTTTTAAGCCAAATTTTTTTTATTTTTTTATATTCTCCTTTTTTTTCGATTGCATTACGAACATGTGTCAATCGTCATGTTGAAAAAAATAACGTCGAACTTTATTTATTTTCTTTTTTTTTATTAAAATGTTACAATAAATACGTTTACTTTTTCGTGGCAAAACATATTTAAACGTTTCGTTTAAAAGATTTCGAAGAAATACACTTGTATCTCATTCCTCATCTTCCGGTGTTTTCCAGTAGCTCCGGGGAATGCTTCCGGTCTCGCGACAAGTCTCCTTGGTCCAGCGCGCTCACGCACGCGCCTTTGTCACTTTCACATCGCGTTTCACCGTCGTCAAACATGTCTTTTTCTTTTTTTTTTCTTTTCCTTTCTTTCTTTTTTTTCCCCGTGGCTTCCTTCCGCATATATCAACTCTTAAACGCGATCGATCAATGCGATAAAATCATTATTGTCCGGGAACTTGCGGAAAATTAATCCTATGGGTAATAATCTTAAAGGCGACAGTAATAAAAAAAAAAAAAAGAAAGAAAAAAGAAATAGACGAAGAAGAAGAAGAAAAATAGAACAAACAAACAAACAAACAAACAAAAAAAGATCTGAAAGTTCATCGAGAAGCTTCAGTACATTTCGTCGTTCGTGGTACATACATACGTAAGATGTCACTTTCTATAACACACTCGTCGAACATAATCATGAATAATTAAAAAGCTTTCGAGCGAGGATATCTATATACATACATACTTACATACTGCGAACAAACTCGATCTTGGCTCGACAAACGATATCTGTAGGAGGTATGCATGCGCACGCGCTCGCGCTCGCGCGAACACGTTTATATATACATACCTGGCACGTTTTGCGATTGAAACTCTTTTTTGTCCGTTTTTTTTTTTTTTTTTTTTTTTTTTTTTTTTTTTTTTTTTTTTTTTTTTTTTAATATATATATACTTTTTTCTCTATCATCGCCCACCGTGACATTCAAACATCCTGATCCTTAAAACTTGCGAAGGATTTCGTGAGAGAAAGAAAGAATAAAGGAAGGAAGGAAAAAGGAAGGAAGGAAGGTATATAAAAAGAAAAAGAAAAAGAAAAAAAGAAGAGAAAAAAAGAAAGAAAAAAGGAAGAAAGAAAGAAAAGGGTCTAACCCAGTAGCAGGAACAGCAATAGCAATAGTAATAGCAATAGCACGTAACGTGTTGCTGGCAGGCTGCGTGGAAAATCGAAGATATTCACGAGGATCGAGGGTGTTCATCCTGATGAGCTCTTGTGAATAAATAATTCATGATTCTTTCCAGGATAGATATCCTCCTTCCTTAGTTAGAGAATGACAAAGAGAAAGAGAGAGAGGGAGAGAGAGAGAGAGAGAAATAGAGACAGGGAAGAAGAGAAGCATGCGCATACGCACGTAGCCAGAAACGTAGAGAGAACGAACGTTCGGGGCGGGGTCCTGTTTGGTCAGGATGACGCGAGAGGACTGACAGGAGGCAGAGGAGCGTAAAGGAGCGAGGTGAAAAATGGACGACTGTTAAACGGGATTTTAGCGTGTGTTGACCGAGGCAACGGTACGTGATGTAAAGGAATACCTTCGAGAGAGAAAGACAACGAAGAACGAGCAAGTTTTTATCTTTTCTCTCTCTCTCTCTCTCTCTCTCTCTCTCTCTCCCTCTCTTTCTCTCCCTCTTGCTCTTGTCTATCTTATAGTTCGACCTTCCTGAATCGATAACACGCATAACCTTCAACCGGCTATCTTTTTTCATAGAAATCTATCGACTGTTTAGGAAACAAACGTCATTTTGTTCATTGCTAAATGATTATTTATCCGTTTCCTCTATGATAATTCAAACATGTGAGTATATTTTTTCTTTTTTTTTTCATTGAATTGCAAAATCTTCTTTCTTCTCTATCTTTTTTATCTCTATCTAGATTATTTTCTAGATTTTATAGAAATTTCCATTCGGGAAGAATCACAGAAAAAAAGTAACAAAAAGAAGAGGAAAGATTTGTAAGTAGGTAGGTATTACTATACGTCCAAAAAAAAAAAAAAAAAAAAGAAAAAAAAGAGAAAAAAACTGAGCGTCACCCGTTAGATGTGCAACGTACTTACGGTCTTTATCAACGGGATCTGAGGAAATAAACGGTTTCCTGAGTGAAACGTGCTGCCGCTTCTGGTGCTGTTTTTGCTCGGTGTGGGCCAACCATAAGGGAGAGATAATAAAAACCGTCGTGAGGGAAACTGTTAAAGCTGCGTTCACATTGTAAATACGTATGCATATTGATATTTTCTCGTTTCTCAGATCGAATAAATTATTCAAATCGAATAAACTATTCATTATTAAATCATTTGCTTTCTTTCGATGAGATTAAAAAAAAAAAATAATAGAAAAAAAAAATAAGAAAAGAAAAAAATAATAATTAAAAAAAAAAAAAAAAGAAAAAGAAAAAGCAAAAAGCAATAAACCTTCGTAGAACGATCATAAAGAAGATTTGAATCTTTTCGGGTTGCCTTTTTTCTTTGACAATTTTTTATCTACATAATTTGCTTTAATCGCGTTATCTTATCGCAACAACTTTACGAAGTACATAAGCGATGATAACGACGCAATCCAGTACACACGCTTGTCGAGATAAAACGCGGTAATTACGGAAGGACGAGGACGTTAAATAGTCTCACAAGAGATCACCATTGAAAATTCATTTCCAAAGACTTTTACGAAAATGTATCTAATGGCGTCGACTAATAGCCATCGATTGTGTTCGAGCATCGGGCTCGGATAATTTTCCCATAGGAAGAAGGGTCTGATTGTGGGAGACAAGACGAAGTGAAAAGAGTTTCCGTGATGCGACACGTCATTGTTCTTCGCTCGCATTGTTTTCCTCGATATATGTGCGTATGGGAATTTTATTTTCTATTTCCAACGACTTTATTTTTTTTCCCCTTTTTTAATTTTTTCTTCTTTCCCTTTTTTTTTTTTTTAATATTTTTTTCTTTTTTTTTCTTTTTTACTTTCCTCTCAAATCTAAGAAACAATTAATTTTCGATGGCTTCCATGAGATTAAAGAAATATTAAAAAAAATAATGTCACGAATACAAGAAGAAGAAAAAGAGAAAAACACAGGGAAAAAAAAGAGAATAAATAAATAAATAAGTCGTTTGAATTTTCAGACGTTCTTTTTTTTCGCGATTAAACAAATATTTAACGAAAATATCAATTTGAATTTTGATGCTTAGAAAAGAAACGTGCTTCCGGTTTGGTATGCTTCATAAACACGCCCCGATATGCCCGACGAATATGCGACTGCATGCGTTAGGTGCCTCAACTTACTCTCTCTTTCTTTATCTTTCTCTCCCTCCTTCTCTCTTTTTCTTTCTCTCTCTTCCTCTCTCTCTCTCTCTCTGTCTCTCTTTAAGCGGAACTTTTTAAAAACAGCAGGATATGCGGGCCTCCCAACGACACTCGGTTTATTTATGGTGCGTCCACACCATACAACACGTAAAACTTGGCCTCCACCGATGGTTTTTCGTCCTTTCGGATGATTTAATGGATCGTGAGAGCCAGCCTACGAAAACTCTTACCTATTCCTTTTGACTTTAAATCTTGCGTCTTTCGTGCCGTCAAAGATCGAAGGGGAAGAGCCATCCACCCGTAGACACTTTTCTTTTCGAAATAAATTTCACGTGAACGAAATTGTTCGACTGGAAAACCTTCGAAAAAAATGTAGATAAAAGGGGAAGTTTCTAATAAACTATAAAATTACTTGAAACGTTTATAACAATTTTCTCATTTTCGATAAGAGAGACTGCATTTGATATAAAAATTAATATTAAATTACTAATATAAAAATATAAGTGAAAAAAAATGTATGTGTGTGTGTGTGTATGTGTATGTATGGTATGGTCGTCTCAGGTCATGTAATATAAAGGCTACCACACATTAATTTAATTTATATTCATATAAATTATTTGTATAATATTAATTTACAATATATTTATATAATATAAATATTAATTTATATTTATATAAATTAATATCGTGCTTAATTTTTACATATTTCCTATTTGTACACAATATAAATTTATATTTTTATAAAATAAATTTAATTTAATATTCGGTAAGGTTGATATATAATTTTTATTTCTATATTTGTGACTATAATCGAGTTTAGACGGTATTATATCTTGTCATTTGCATCAACAGTTGAAGCAAGAATGTGTGTGTGCATAATCGATTTTTAATTAGTTTTTCAGAAATTTGTAACATCTCAAATCTCTTGATGATTAAATCAACTAGAGAATATGATAGTATATATATATATTTTTTTTTTCTTCCTTTTGGTTATCGTAAAAAAAAAAAATAAATATAAACATATGAGTTAATTATTATTCGAATTACGTTCGATATAATACAATCGAGTCACGTAATAGTTGTAATTGACGCCGTGATACTCGTAGAAGTAACATTAACTCGAAGCATGATTCACGTTCATCATCCTCCACCCATTCACGGAAAGAGATTTTCACGTTAGGATTAACGCTTATTCTTATGAAAGAAAAAAAATGACCTTGAACCTAATGAGTCAGACCAATAAAAAACGTTGATTGGTGATTTACTAGTTGATAATCATTAAAGGACGTGAAATGGTTTGTTAATGGATATTTAACATTGAATTCATCGAATTTTTGATTCATTTCGAAGAAAGACAATTCGTTATTAAAATTAATTTGTCGAAAGAAAGAAAGGAAAAAAATACTACAAGAATTATCATATAAATATAATATTTCATCTCCAATATTTATCTTCGAGCAAACAATAATTTACTCATCTTCACGTATCATTATTATTATTATTAATTATTATTATTAATTTCTACATTAATTATATTTAGTCATTATTATTAATATACGATATTAATTATATTTAATTATTATTAATAATATTCTATTGTAATTATAATTAATCATTATTATTAATATTAGATTATTTATATTAATATTCGATATAATATATTTTTAAATAATTAATTCATATCAAGAATGCACATTCGAAGTAAATCACAGTTCGAGAAATCAAGAACACTCCTAGGTTTTATTTATCACTCGATTCTCTCTAGTACGGCCTTTATGACTTTCTTATGACTATTAGAAACGGTGTCGGATGTATTTAACGCTCACCACAAAGACATACAGAGAGAAAGAGAGAGAGAGAGAGAGAGAGAGAGAGAGAGAGGCCATCGGTGGTTAATAACTAGATCGCAAGAGCTTTTAGAATCTACCATGGTGGCCGTCACACCCGCGGATTTCGCAAGTTGCATTCTCGGTTACTTTAAAACAAAAAGAAACGAAAAAAAGACAGAAAGAAAGAAAGATTAAGTACTTACTACTATTACTATTATTACTACACGCATACATACACAGAAAAAGAGGGAGACAGACACACGTTCGTACACACGAACACACACGTACACACATGAACATGCATATACACTTAGTTATTTCCGCGAAACGAATCCGGAAATTAAAACGACGTCGTTCCACATAGCACGAATATAATTATTATCAGAGAACCAATACTATTAGCTCGTTGTGCATGCTACTAATAACGTCGAGGACTACAATTTTAAATATATATGAATCGCCATCTATAATTACCTTTCACACTACTTTTCGATGATGAATACTCTTTGTTTTATGAGTTCTGACTTATCTCGTAAACTCTCTTGATCCTATTTATTTATTTATTTATTTATTTATTTCTTTATTTATTTGTTGATTGAGAAAAATTAGAAGAAAAAAAGAAAAAAGTATATATAATATACTAGAGATAATATAATATAATATATAAGATAATATAATATATATTATCAGTCCTTTTTGTTCGTTTCTACAATTAAAGAAAAAAAAAGAAGAAGAAGAAGAAAAAGAAAAAGAAATAAAAAACTAAAAGTAAAAAAAGAGAACACTCGTATATTAAGAGGGTATACTCTCGATAGATAACGACAAAAATTCATAGTTTCGTCGTAATCGACGCTTTGAAAGATAACTATAATAAGTGCAAAAAGAAAAGAAAAGAGAAAAAAAAATAAGAGAGGAGGAAAGAGAAGCTTCCTTGACCGCGCTGATAACGCCGTCGTGTGATTGCTAATACAACTGTTAAGCTTGTCAGACGTCGTTCAGACATGGATAACTTCTAGTAATAGTACTCGTTTAGGTACTTGATATCCCATTAAAAATATTATAGATTGCCGTTCTAATAATACTTGATTGTCTAATCGAAAATATTAAATTCATTATTGATATGATATATGAGATTTTTCTTAATCGAAATGAATATTTTATTCTTTAAATGAATATAAAAAGTAAAGTTAAAAAAGATCATATGTTTTAAATATATTAATCATTCGAAAAAATGATCGATTTCTTAGAGAATAATGTCATCAGAGATCAAAACGGTATATGCTATTTATCGTTCAATCGATAAAAATCAAAAGTTTCCAACGTAAGATATAAAAAAATCTTAAATCGTGAAATATAATTCGTAACGTTACTTATAAATTTTGTTGAATATATTAAAATCTATTGTTAAAATTGAAACGTAAAGTATTTAATGGGAAAATTGATGAATTTTTTCAAACATTTCTCATAGGCGAAACATTCGTTTTTTTTTAATTTGATTTTTATAAGTTGAATTTATAATATTGTGCTACCTCTCAAATTGGTGAGTAATTTTAATGAAATAATAAGAAATTTTCTTAAGTTTTTATATAAGAATTTAATTGACCTTTGAAAAAATCACTAAAAAATATTTCCATGATTTTTCGTATACTATACTACGTTCAATGAGTCGAGTCAGATGAAATAAACAAACACGCATGATCGAGACAAGAGCGTATTTACAACTTTCAGACCTCTCTTATTTCAACAATCCGTCATTCATTTTATAAGCCAAGAGAAATTGAAACTAACAAATAATGATTCATGTATTTTCGCTCCTAAATTTTACAATTGACTATCGTTTAACAGCCAATAACTGATGTCCATCGCATCTGTCATGTTTATCATGTTTATATGTCAATTTTTTGTTTATTTCTACTGACTCGTTTCATTAAACGGAGTCTAGTTCTGAATCATGTTAAACTTTACGTTAATGTCAAATTTATTATTCCAAAATTGTGCCTAAATAAAAAAGATATATAATGAAAATAGCAAAATCGCTATTCATTATTGACAGATTTACTTCGTAATCCTGTAATGGGCCTAATTATGATCGCCGCGCACATTGGGCCTTATCGATGATTTTAGTAACATTTTGACAAGAAAAATAAACTTTCACATATCGATATCTAATAAATCTGTATCGTTTCTTAAATGTCTATAGATCTCGAAAAAAACGAAAGATAAAAGAAAATTAATAAGATTGAACAGAAATTTCGTAGTTGTAACGATCAAAGAAGATTATATAACAAAAACACAAAAGATTATTTGATGAAGAAACATCAGACATAAATGCAGATGCATATTCTGAATCCGATTTAAACTTAATACGATCAGTAAATGTTAAATTCGTACGTGTTTTGCGAACTACGTAATGTATATTTAATTATAAATAAAAAAAGAAAAATAAAGAAAAAGAACTTTGTATAAATATGAAGTAATTATAATTTGTTTTTCCCATACAGTCATTATACGTTAAACACTTTGCATCAGATTGACCAGTGTCATAGGTCGTAAGAACAGGAACAGAAGAGAATTCATATGACCTCGTCACCTATGTGCGTACGTGACTTCAAGAATGCAGGTGAAGGACCTTTTAGATATTCTCTTATGCATTTTCCGTCCGGTACGTTTCTTATCGTCGAGAAAAATTTCAAAAATCTCAACGTTCACATTTACACCCTTTTCGATAAGTATCATCCGTTATATCTCACGTTAAATAAAGATTCTTGATAAATTCAAATCTGTCTAAAGGCGATCGTTTGTGCAAAAATCAAAATTTTAACATATTCGCCGAATTATATAAAATTAACAAAAACAAAAAAATTTTCTAATGAAAACGAAATTAATTAAAATTTGTAAACATTGATGATATATATATTTTTTCACGATAAGACATTTCTAATCACTTTTAATAAATACCATCCCGAGAGTAAAACCAATTACTCATCTAGGATCGATTGGAGTTAAATCACACGAGGAATATATATCATAGATTCGAACTAGTAGCGATAATCGAAGAAACTGAAAAGCGATCTATGGTGCACGGAAAAGTGAGACGTCGAAGTAGGTCTTGGTTTAATCTCATCTGATCAGTTCAATACCGTCGCGTAACTCGTCTCGCTTGTTAGATGAGATATATCCTATCTCTTTCTCTTTCTTTCTCTCTCTCTCTCTCTCTCTCTCTCTCTCTCTCTCTCTTTCTCTCTTAATGATTGGACTTTTATCTTCGATCTTACATTTATCAAAATGTCTACTGCAGTTTGGATTTCTTTC